GGAGGATCGAAATTTAAAAATCTTGGAGTTGTTGATCCAGAGGAGGATAATGTTGAACAACATGATTCGAGTAGGCTGGACTGGAAGAAGAACCCGCGAATCAGTTTTTCTTACAGAAATCATAATCTGTTGGAAATTGAAGGGGAACAGAAGGAAATCAGAGGCGAAATTCGTCTTCGGCCGATACAGCATTCTCATTTTCAAATATTGGACATCCTCAACCAGATTTATATAATTACCACGATTTGGTGTTTTCGCCATACTGCAGAGGTGGTTGACCACATATGGACATTGTGGGGCCAACTTTTGTTTTTCTCGTTTCTTCATGATTTCAGAGCCAGGTGGCAGCGCATGGTTCAATATTAAGCTCCGAAGACATGATTCATGGTGATAATTTTTCGGGATTCCTGCGCTGGACAAACGTGGCCCCCTTCATCTTTTTCACCCAAACAGAACGTATCCTCGTTCCTGTTTTCGGCAATGCAAGGAGATAGAAACTCGGCCGTTTACTATGCAACATTCTTACCATGGGCATGAAGATCCATATACGGCTCATCTTCCCTAAACACTAACTTAAAAAAAAAAATATGGAAATAAGATCATTGAAAATTTCACACTTTGTCCGTTGAGTAAGTTTATGAATCTCGTTAAATCATATTTTCCATGTCATTTTCTCGTACCATCAGCCAATGGAGATGGATTTGATGGATCATCCATCGCGTGTCATCCGCGCATAGCAGCTTTACTAGCGGACCCGTTGGGTGGCATGTGCTTTGCATAGGTTGCAATCGATCAACCGCGGGGAACGGGTAGTTGAGGTTCCCTGCTTGCCACCGCGTTTTGTGGGGTTGCACATCATTAATGCTCTAATGTGTCATCCTAGAGGGCGTGTCAGTGTCTTTATACAAGGGATCCTTATATGATGGTTGCTAAAAAAGGAATATTTGGATGTACAAAGTGCTGGCCATTAACTATTTAAGCTATGCATGTGAGTGACAAAGGGGGGAAAAGTGCATTGGGCAGAGCGGACAGGAGAAGAAGAATAATAGCAGGGAGTCGGGGGTTAGGTGGACAAGGTACCCGTGAAGAATAACCCAAGTCTAGAGAGGAAGAGCAAGGACAATGGATTTGAGAGGCCATCTGGCCACAGCAGCCCCTGAACATATCTGCCGAGGGATATGTTATATGTAAGGTTCTTGGAATTGTCAGTGAAAGAAGAAACGTTTTCAGAGAGTTATTTGAATGAGCTAACAACCACGTGATCATATGGACTTCGCGGAGTTCACCGCAACAATTCCCGATCACAATGTCGGACAGCATAACCTGACCATGGAATCAAACAGCTTACACCCTCAATTTTGAGCTAGAAAATTGCCAACCTTGCATCTTCAATGAAGATGGGGAATGGGCTCTTCCCGACATCATGAAGACGAATTCTTCAAAAGTTGAATGAATGGATTGCATTTCTGCCAACCAATTTTCTGCCCAGGTACTGCAACTAACTACTTAAGGATCGACCTCCTTGATCCGTTCTTCAAGGGAAAGATTTGTGGACCAGACATGGATATACTACTAAGGCGGCCACGAAAGGGATGAACCTAAAATTGGACCCTGGCCAGACATTGGCGCCTCAAGTGCCAAAAGATGTGCCGAGCCATCGTCTCCCACTCTCTCGCTTATTCGCAACCCCTACCCTCCCTGAGAACTTCAAAATTACCTTTCTCGAGCGGGAAGTGGCGGGGTTTTCGCAGCAATGGATGTCCAAAACTTGCAAATAAACACAGCCCGTTGTCATTGGGACAATACAAAAGTGGGCTGTGGTGTCTGCTGGGCCCATGTTTATTCTTCTCAGCCACATCTTGTGATGGCATTGTGCTCGGCAGCATGAGTTGGATGGATGTCATATACGAATTAGTTATTCTGGAAGCTGCTTTACAAACTTTTTCGTTCCTCGTTGACGTCGTTCGATGATATTGCTCCATTCCTTCACACTGACTTCTAGAATGATTTGCCAGACTCGAAAAATTTTTCGATTCATGGTTTGTTTGGTCTTCTATTTTTATCATTCTTTACCATATCATATATCGTATCGTTTCGTATCGTTTCGTATCGTTTCGTATCGTTTCATTTCATATACTTATTGGTGTAAAAGCCTATTACAGGTACAGTACTCCGTAGACCCTCTCAAATCATTCCCTACTCCTTTGCTAACGAGATTCAATTGCCTCCCCACTTTCTTGGCATTTCTACTCATGGCAACGATCCTCTCAAACGGCTTTTCACCCTTTGTTGTGGAGGGAGAATTGAGGGGCAGGCAGCAGGTGTCTCGCAGCCTCCAAGCCTAAAACCGTGCAGCTTCAGCTCATATTTTCTAGCCTCCTTCTAGATGCAAACTACCCGGAGTACGCGGGCGCTTCAATCAGAAGACGTAAAATTAAATAGTGACAGGAGACGGCCAGCAGGAACAAAATGGAGGGAAGAGAAAAGAAATGCATTCTCTAGGGCGACGGGAACAGCTTTAACGCATATTCCCAAATTGCTGGGCCACCGTACGCACCAGCAGTTACTCCGCACATGCCCATCCGACCAGCCACCAACATCAATACGACAAGCCCTTTTCGTGGATGGATCCATTGGATGCCAGATGTTTTCCGACTAAAAAGGGATAGTTGCGGGCTTGGGCAAGCTTGCTACAGTCGCGACTCTAGGAAACCCTCGCAGCGAATCGGTCCTTCACCCTTCGAAAATGTTACTGGCAATTCGCCTCACGGCGTTTTAGTCAAGATCATTTGTTGGTTTACTTTTTTCCCATCCCTTCACAGGAAGCATAGCATGCTCATGTAATCTATACATCCTGAGTCGAGAGATGCCGAGAATGCCGAGATAGGAATCGAAACAAATGACGAAAAATATGCTCCGTAGCTCTATCAAGGGAACCAAAGTATATTAGACCCGCGACTTGTCAATATCTCTTTCAGCTTGCTCTGCACTGTATCTAATGGCCATATCACTGTCTTACCAATCGCCCCCAACTTAGTTAAACATTCAAGAATCATTGTTTTGGCTCGTCCGCTCTGCTGCCTGACTAAATTAGTGCCTCTTTTCCTTGTTCCTGTATGCGAGTGATCAGTTGCGGCATAGCAAATGAAGAAGCCTTAGAGTGCTCCATGAATCCATATAACCGCGAGAGGGGGTGGTTCTTGCTGCCCACTATATTTATCTACTTTTCCTTCATCTGGATCTTGTGTTTTCCCGCCGAGAAGTTTATGTCCAGGCCCCGGCCCATCATCGCTTCCCCCAGCAGACCTACGAGGCTACGCTTATTGGCACAGCACGACATCTCTACATCTACCCTGCTAGAGGCTGGAGGGATTTAACGGCTAGCAGAGGCCCACCGACGACGCGCTGTTTAAGACTTGGACGGAGAGCAGTTTGATCTATTTATTTAGTCCACGGGCAGTTCTCCAGAGGAGCACAACTGCGTATACGCTTGCCGCCGCCATTTCTCCAACGCTGGTTTCTCTTTATCCCCTCTCCCATTATTAGCCGCCCTCGTTTGCTCATTTCCTTTGCCTTTTTTTTTTTGTTTCTTTTTGTAGACTCACTCTTTTGCATTTTCCGCACGCAGTCACTCACGCCATCCCTTGCCGTCCCTTTCTGCAAACAACGGTGCCCCTGGTCTTTATGGAGAGTCAGTGGCGTCACTGAGTTGCTGCGCTTTCCAAAATCAGCCGACAGAATCACCCGCCTTGGTTCTTCTCAGGCCTCGCATACCGATCTGACTGAACTGAACTGACGGGAAGACACTGGCCTCGCCCGTCAATCCCGTGACCAGGCAAGCTTCACATGTTTCCGGATTAGTTCGCAAGTCTGGCCTTTCGCTCTTTGCTCCCAATCCCTCCTTCACCTCCCCGAATCTGCCCCAAGTGTACCCCACACAATCCTCAGTCTGTTGTGGCTACGCGATATGTGGCTAATGACCGCGTTGTATACTGACTGTTAATTCCTTATTCCTTGTGTGGAGTAGGATAAGCTCTTCTACCGATCGCATTGGCCCGTTCGTTGTTCGCGGCTTGCACCCGTGGTTTGACCCGGAACTCTCCAAACTTGTGGATGATCTTAGAAGCTTGTTTCCCCTACCTACCATGAGCCTGGGGAAGCAGGTAAACAACACACCGTCGACTAGCCTTGGTGATTAGATTTGCGCTCTATGATCTCATTACAACAACCTCCTTTGCTTCGAGCTGCTAAACCACGAGTATCCGTCTTTGCACGATCCCACACCTGTCCCACGTTTTCTACATATATCGCTCAACCCTCGCACGCGTGTTAGTTACCACAGTGGCACTTGCACAGCGGCTGCAGGCTCAGCCGTAAAGCCGTAAATAGCCCAGGACTGATTCCTACCACCATTGCAATACTTTCGCACTTCCCACAACCACGAGTCGCAATTTTCCCTTGGGCCCCTCCGACTAGCGCTCTGCTTCCGATCGGAGTGTGCCAATGCAGGCGTTCTCGTTTGTTCCCCCTAACCTGGGCCCCGTGGAGGGCCAAAAAAGTAAGCTCCTGTTGTTATTACAACTGCGGAGAATCTCACATTGCTGCTGGAAAATATTTACGCTGCTGGCAGGCGTGGTGATAATGCGCCTAGTGTTTTGATTCTGACGTGAATTACATATGTAGACTATGTTTTTGTGGACGAACACAACAGACACAAACGTCTCAGGGGTACGCCTTATACCACCGCATCACCGCCTTAATAGGACCTTTTGGACTGATATTTGAATAGTTATGAGAGCTTGCAATGGCTGTCG